CATATTTTATGCATAATTATGCATAATTATGTAAGAGGTGTATAAAATATGCAAGGAGTAAAAACTTTGTTCAAAAGTAAATTTGAGTTGACTTCAAAAAGTCCTTGCTAAGTCAACTCAAGAACCAACTCCAATGAGACTTTTAACAGCTCTACTATAGGCCATTCAAAGTTAATTTTTTAGTTAATATCACTCTCTTTGGCATCTCCTAGTAAAATAAACACATATAAAAAGTAAAAATTAAAAAACACTATATAACCATAAAATAACATGACAGGTGTAATTTCAAATTTCAGTCTAAATTAAGCTTAATTTAGATCAAAATTTAAAATAACTCTCTATATACTATTTTACAGTTATATGGCAAATATAAAATAAAAATAATTTAAAATAAAATAAAATAAAATAATTTAAATTAAATCAAAATAATTTAAATTAAAAATTTAAACTTGTGGCTTTTTAGTCTCGGCTAATTAAAATAAAAAATAAAAAATACAAATTTTTTTTTTAAAAAAAAACAAGACAAATAATAAAAAATAAAGCCAAAATTTTAGTTCCCACTTGGCTGTTCTCTCATATACCATATAGGCATGTAATAATATGCAGGAGCATTATTTTGAATAATAATCCAAATTAGGCTTAATTTAAACCAAATTTCAAAATTACATTTCTGTGCATTGTTATATGCTTATATAGTATATTTATTTTAGTTTGTGATAAAACAATTCAAGAAAAACTGCTAAAAAAAGAGCTTCTGATGTGTTTTTTATTCAGAGAGAACTAGTATTAATGAGTAAAAAAAAATATTTAAATAAATATAATGATACAGATCTGATTACTAGATCACAATCATTAAATATTTCAACTCTTTCTGACGATCACTTGGACCAAATTTTCCGACGAAAAGAAATACCTATTTTTTATACTGAAGAGTAGTAATCTGTAGTGAGGTGATTTCAACAGGGCAGTTTTTATAAAGGTTAACCTTTCTCTACTATTGGGGACTCCTTTATATATTTGACATACAAACCAAAAGCGTCGGTATACAAGATAACTAGCAGAAGATGGTGCCCTCGTATATGAAATTTTGGTGGTTAGATGGAGATGATAAAGTCCAAGCCTACCATTGATAAAGCTATCAGTTGCAAAACAACTAGGAAATAGTAAAGAATAGATTTTTTTTAAGCCACACTCCTTTTTCTTGGCCAAGTGGTATCTACTATTCTTTTTCTGCTTTCCTGTCTTTCTTCCAAAATTTTTCGACAAAAAGTGGGAATTTGGCTTACCTCTTCAAAAGATTGGCATTGTTTACTTTTCAAATTCGGACAGACTAGTAGATTGCAACCATGTGTTTGTTTATGAATGGATATGATGCTACTGCATAGGACTTGGCCCGGAAACTCCAATTACGGCAGAAGGTAGCTTTGATATGGGGCCTCGGACAACAGAGCCATCCAAAGTCAGTGAAAAGGTCAGAAAGTAAACTTTAATATTAAGACGGAGCTTTACCTTTATAAGAGAGATATACAAATATTGCATTTGTTATATAATTTTTATCAACCTTGCACAGGTTATAATAGTACCTTTAGAGTCTTAGTTTTCTTTTCATGTTTTTTTCTTTTTCGAAATCTGTGTTTATTTTTTGTTTTTCTTTTTTGGTCTTTTTTATATTTGTTTTTGTTTTAAACTTTTCTCTCTTTTGTCTTATGCTCTTTAAGAAGAAGAAAGAATTAGAAGGGAAAAGAGGTCCTGAGGTGGGAGCTGAGCCCCGGCTAGACTATATTTTTAAATATAGTGCACTATATATGGGGTATAGTAGTCAATATTAGTATGATAACCAAAGTTGAGCATCTCTAAGAGATAGCCGGCTTTTAGTCTAATTACCTATTAGATAGCTTGGTCTTATATTGAGCATTATATATTTAATAAAATTTTAGTATGCAGTTATCAAAGGAAAAAAAAAAAAAAAACTAGATCACAAAAATTTTGACTATAAAAATTGTACATATATACAAAGTTCTTTTTCTCAGATAAATGCATCATATAATTAATTATTTATTTGTTTATTTTTTACTTCTCTTTTATAATAAAAATGTAATATTAAAGGCGTAGACATTTATTAGATAATATTTTAGAGGGTGGGAGTTAGTGAAAATCTTACTTAGAATTGATTTGATTGGTTAAAAAAAGGTTACATATAATATCAGCCAATCAAATTAAATACTATTATCTATCGAATTTATACTATATAATTATATATATATGCAATACAAACACATAAACAGACACGTGCTAAATGTCATTGCCAAGGTATATATTCACAGGTTGCTATCACATATTTACATATGTATGTACAATACTAACTGCTAAGAAAGCTCCCAAAGTATATATACACATTTTAAAAAAATTCTTATACATATAAACCCAACCTTTAATAAATTTATTATGTATGAAAAATGTACTATAAATCTACAAAATGAAATATCTGTAGATATATATAGGCGCCAATAAAATAATCTAAAAAATTTGTCTTTTACTTTTAATATATCTTGAAAACTACATATTACTATGCTAAGTTAATTCTGATCTGACATATATTTTTTTTCTTCTAAAACAATTTGTACTTGTACTTCATATATTGAAAAAACTGAACAATCATCCAAAGAATTTTGTTTGAAGAGTCTTTTTGGTTTTCGACTACGATTAGCAAAATGCTTTAGTTGTTTGTGATTTGTTAAAAAAGTAAGAGTTGGAAAATACATTTTACATTTAGGACAACAAAGACGTAAGTAAATTAATCTGTCAAAAGATGTGCAATGCAAATCATATTCAGAAACTTTTACATAATCACAATATTCAAGAAGTAAATTGGATTTACAAAATATCTGTCTTTTGCTTGGATAACAGGGCAAAAAGCTATTATTTAATTTAAGAAAACCCATAGCTTTACTTGTACAAGTAGTTCACAACAGTTCTATTGTCTAATATCAAGAGAGTATTAACACAAGTTGCAAAGCTTTTCAATTCATGACCAGAGGACAAAACATTTTGCTAAGTCATTTTTTTTATTTTTTGATTTCTTTGTCTTTCTTGTCATTTTTGTTTTTTTATTTTTTTATTTTTTGTACTTTCAAATTGTAGATCTTTAAATGGATTAATAGACTCCTCAATATATTTTGTATCTACATGTTTTCCAAAAATTAAATCACAATTCTAGGCATTACAAAGCATTTTACTAATATATTTAAAATTTTGAAGAGCCAACTCTAAACGTATTATATTTTTTTATGTATTTAAGTGTGTTCTAAAGTAATTGATTGGTAATATAATACCTGCCAACTTATCTGATAGTATAGCCATCCCTCATTCTACAGGATTATATTTGGATTGGCTAGGTGTATGCGTTTATATACTTAAGTAATCCAAGTTAAATTTTTTAAAAAATTAACGGTATATTTTTATGTTTTTTAAATATCTCAGATTTTCATCTAGTCCTCTGTCTACTAATAACATCCAAACAGGTTTAATTTCACCATTAGTCTTTAATATTTCATCATACTAAGAGTCTTAAGTATACATTGCAGGTTTTGTATATGTATAAGTGAAGATATACCAAAAGATTACTTACAATAAACAAAAATAGCAATTTGCCTTGTTTGTAATTCATTACTCGTTTCGTTTGGTTTAATTATAAAATATATGAATAGAACTAATAATTAACTGAATCCTGCTGAAAAATTATAATCTGCTACCTTTACAGGCTTATTGATTGACTATAATATACTGAACGTCCAACTTACTACAAAAACACCCAGGCCTACTTTTGTTTTATTGTCTTAAAAAATAATAACACTTATATTTGGAAATAAAGAAGCAAATTGCTTTGCATATTTAATTGATGCAAGGCAATAGTGTCTATCAGAATGATCTCGTGTTCTTGTATGTAAAACTCTAGAAACCACAACCCATGCCAGATAATGGTGTGCTTTTGTAGCAATTGAGTTGGCTTGGCATAGTAGAAGATAATTGTTTAATGTGGTTCTTGCTATATAGACATTATAATTTTTTTTCAAGATTCTTGCACAAATTTTCAATAATTTGTATCTTAACCACTTCTTTTTTTTTTGTTTTTCATTAGCTGCACCAAACTCTATTGAATCATAAATATGTTTAAGAAAATTCAGATGCTCAAAAAGAAATAAAAGATAACTGGATTTATTGTATTGTACTACCTTTTGACTTTGATAAGCAATCTTTTTTTTTATTTTTATACTTTTGAGTATATCTTGTATTTCTTTGTAATTTAACAATCTTTTCTTTGTTATTATTAATATTATCTCGAACATCTACTAGTTTTTTATAAATATTTAGATAAAGTTTAGAATTAGTTGAAATACTATAAATTTGCTCTAATTTGGCAAGCTTTTTTTTACTATTCTTTATTTCATTTTCTGCTTTGTTTTAAGCTAAGGCATTGACAGAAATTTCTGGCCCAGAAGATGCTAAACAAACTATAAGAGTAGAAGGTGGATTCAGGTTTTTTCTAGGTATGGAACACCTTGGTTGCATTATTTAAATATTATAAAAATTAAATAGCATAGCCAGATAATTTCAGATTATATCATTTATTTCGATATTATTCTTGTTTTTAACTTTTTTCTATTCTTGGGCAGCTTCATGACAAATGTCAGCATGGTTGGGAGTACTATTTCCTGTCTTTACTATATAGCTATATATATAAGCATTAAAAAATTCCTGGTATTTGTTTGTTAGTAAGCTATAAATCAGTTTTTTATTAAATCTTGGGCTAAACAAAAAGATTTGATGGCTTATTTTAATACTAGGAATATTCAATTTGGATTTTTTTTTTAAAAAATTTTTATTAATTTTATAATTTTTATCAATTGATTCTTCATATTAAAAATTTTTAATGATTTTACACTACAGGAGTATGTTTTGTATATTATTCAAGTTGTCACAGGTTAACAAATCAAAAAAAGACGGCTAAGTAGGGATATGCCAGTAGCAATCCAATATAGCTATTAATCCTAATCGGGAATTTAATCAAGTATCATGAAAGAAGTTAATGAACTGCCTAATTGAAAATCTACTAACAATAATTTATTGTCAAAAGTAGATATCTTGAAACAAGATTTGTATCTAAGCTGCTATTTTGTAGTAGCTTAAACTTCTTATCTAGAGATTAGACCTGAGTAGAAGTTTTGGGCCACTTTTTTTTTATTACTACTAAAATTTTTTTTTTGTTAGAGATAATTTTCTTTACTTCAAAAGAGAAATACTAATTTCTAAACAGATGGTATAATCAAAACTAATTTTTTTTAGTTGGTCAAGAAATTCTACTACTTGAAATAAATAGTAATTTACCTAGATGACTCAAGTAAAGATTTTCTTAGCATTGCAAATCCAATCAATAACAACAACTTAGCTATAAATATGATATTTTTTGAGAGTATATCTCATTTTGGTTTATTCATTAATTGCATATATGCTGCTTATTTATAGTAAAGATTAGAGGCCTGCAAATTCCAATTTTATAGTCCAGGCCCACCCACAATTAGAGTTAAAAAATTTTTGCCAGCCTGGCTCGGCCTGCTTTAATTAATTTAAATTTTTAGCTTAGCCTAGCCCACAAATATATAAATTTTAAAATAAAGATAAAGATATTTATTATCTAATTTTTTAATAAACAAAAAGAAAAAGAGGCTTTTAATAAATAAAAATTATTTTAATAAACAAAAAAGCTTTTTTTTTTTTTTTAAACTTTGATGATTTTGCTATTAACTTTTATTATTATATTTAACCAAACAGTACATATATATTACATATATTTAACTATCTAACTAAATAGTCATTATAACCTCACCTGGTTACTCTATATAGTGCCAAGATGCAACCATCTGCACCATCTCACATATAAGATAGACTACCTTGGGAATCTTTATCGGTATGGTGATACAGAAGTTTAGATCCTTAAAATGGAAGTTAAGTACCTCATTTAATTACTGCCACAAAGCAGTAACCCGGGACCCGTACTTCTGCTGTGTTTTGTTATAGACTCCTATATAGGTTGTGCGACTATTACTCACTAGCTATCTTTATATTCATACCACTAGGGTGCTTGCTTCCATGCTTTTTGGAGTTTCTTTTAACTAGTTTTCCTTGTTTCTTTATTGTGCCAGAGATGTTTTATATTTGGTAAAGCCATTTTCTTATCACAGCCTCTTACTATGTTTATCACTTCTCTTACCACTTCTGGATATATTGTATACAGCCATCCTTTCAATCAAAATTCCAATGCCGCCTTAGGGTTGTTGGTGCTACCTTGCCAATCATGAATTCACACATACAGCCTTCTGCAGTATTACTTTTTGTGACCCATATTACACACAGTGCCTAATCTTCTCCATAGCTTGGAACTCTTTCCAAGAATTCTTTATCGGCCAAATATATATTTCATATAGTCTTACCACCACAGGGTTCCACATTCAAAAGGCCCAAAGATTATAGAGATAATTAATTTAATTAATTACCACCAGCTATAATTAAACTGTCAACCTCATCTGTGGAGGGTTAGGTGTCTAAACCACTAGGCTATGGGGCTCTAATCCACAAAAAGGCTTTTAATAAACAAAAAGTTTTTAATAAACAAAAAGATTTTTAATAAATAAAAATTATTTTAATAAACAAAAAAGCTATTAATAAACAAAAGATTTTTAATAAACAAAAAAACTTTTAGTAAATAAAAAATTTTAATAAACAAAAAGATTTTTTAATAAACAAAAGACTTTTAATAAATAAAAAGATTTTATTATAATAAACAAAAAGATTTTTAATAAACAAAAGAATTTTTAATAAACAAATAGGCTTTTAAAAAATAAATTTTTTTTAATAAACAAAAAAGCTTTTAATAAATAAAAAGACTTTTAATAAACAAAGAAGCTTTTATTAAATTTTTAATAAACAAAATTTTAATTAATAAATATCGTGACTGAAGCTAAAAATGGCTAAAGCTGGAAATTAGGAACCTTGATTTAAAAATAAAAACCCTACCAAGATTCACTTATACTCTTTTATTATTAAAACTATTACTAAACCCTAACCTAACTCTAAAAAAAAAACTCCTAACAAAAGGCCCAAAAAATTTTTGTAAATTTCATATTAAAATAATTAAAATTTTCAGCATCAGCTATTTCCAGCTTTAGCTATGACAATAAATAAAAATTTCTTGATTTAATTTAGTTTGTAATTATTATATTTAATTATTAAACTTGGTCTAGCCTAGCCTGTCCCAGCCTGTTCCAGTCTGCAATTATAAAATTTTAAACCCAGCTCACAATTACAAAATTTAATTTTAAACCCAGCCTGGCTCCACAAACTAGGCCGGGTTGGGCTGGGCTAGGCTGGGCTTTGGGACCCAATGCAGGTCTCTAGTAAAAATCATACAATAAAGTTTTTATCTGATATTAATAGCCAAATAACTTTCACTATATATACACCTTTTACAGCAATTCATTTTGGCATTCTATCTATTTCTTTATAATCTGACTAGCTACAAATCTGTGCATAGCACAGGTAAATTAAATATAGTTTATTTGAACCTAGCAGTGATTTATTTAAACTCTCATCTGAGCCTAGCTGTAATTTATTTGAACCTGAAGTTGGTTTATATAAAAAATATCGATATTTTACTTCTTTGCACAAGAATATATACTCTGGTTTTGTATATAAATAATTTATATAGAGTAAACTAAATGTTACTTTGCAGCTAAATATTATACACATAAGATTAATTATTTTAATTATTGTTGCAAATCATAATAAAATCGGATTAAAATAAAACTAGAGGCTTTTTTTGCTTATTTTTAAAGCTTATAAAACCCACTTATACTTTTTTATTAATAAACTAACTTTAAACCCTAAC